GTTTAATTCTCACTCACTCATTTTATTTCTTTTATATGATTATAGGTCTAATTTTCTACCGTATTGGTCTGTGTCTATGTGTATATCTCACTTATGACTAGGCTCTAATGGTAGGATCACACATGTGCTATTAATGCATGAATTTTGTTCTGTTTTTCTGCAGTGTAAAATGTGGGGTCTTCTTCTGAGAAACATGTTTGGGCAGACTTTGGGTACTGGTGATTATGGGCACTTTACTATTGAACATAGCAGCATGTTGTTCCGTGTACATGGTTCATTCAGAAAATACTCAAATCAAGGTTTTGAAGCCTCCCACAAGCAGCATAGAATGCTATATTCAAGAGCAACGAATCATGATTGCAAAGGAGAGGCAGAATCTTGTAAGTGATAGGATGATGATGTCATATGAAAAGTTTGTTTATGATTATAACTTTTTTTATCCATTTAAGATCAGCTGTCAAAGCTCGTTCTACAGTTCAATCTACTACTTGACTGATTAATTTCGAAAGCTAAATTCTTCTTAATTCAAAAATTATTAACAAAATTTTTTTTATATAGTGAAGCAAATACTTACGCACTGGTATTCAGAAAAGCTTTTGTCAATAAGATACCAATTTCTTAAAGCTAAGGAATTTGTCATTGTTGGTAAGTAATGATGTATAATCATGTATTAAGTTGATATTTGTTGACACTGACGAGTTTGATGATTTTAATCAAGGCATTTTGACTTAATCTCAAGTTAATTGAATCATGAATCCTGACTGCAACAAACACATCTTCAATAGTCTTATGTGAGAGTGCTCATTAAATTACAAAAAAAAAATATCTTAAATTTCTAAAGGAAAGCCAAAGTTTTACTATCGTGGGTGCGGATGGAAAAGCCAATTTGCACGCTGGTCTAAAGATGACAAGATTTGGATTTTTACCATAGTACACTTGTTTGAAAAGATCTTTGGCCAGGATTTCTTGAAATATGTCTCCAATGCAGACCATGGCCTGGAGATTGCCACTGATGATGACCCAAGGGAGACTTTCAAATACAGACATGATKAATGGGAGGAGCAATTCCCTCAGACATTACTTGAGATTGAAAGTAAGTTCTCCACTTTTAACTTGGCAAAATCAAAAGTAAAAAAAAATGCATTTGAGATGGATGATGAAGATGATGAAGATGAGGATGGTGAAGATGAATTAGCACAGTGTCGTGTTTTAGAAGGAATCACGCCAATGGCAGTTGACAATGATAATAATTACGATGATGGTAAAATGCAATCTAACATAAAGCAGAGGTGTAGTGTGAATAGCAATGATGATAATTCTGATGGTGATAACAACATCAAGGTGAAATCAGGGGATGTCCCACAGACTAACAGTTCTTTTCAGCAGTCAGAATCCATTAACCAACAGTCAAAGCCATTTGTCACAATTGATGATGATGATAGCATGCAATCYGAAACCACCACATATTGTAGTACAAGTCCACTATCAAATGTCAGCCMGGATAACTGTGATGRAGATGTAAGTGTCAAGGTTAAATCAGAGCATTTCCCACAGACTATCAGTACTTGTAAACAGCCAGAATCCTGTCATCAGCAGTCAAAATCTTTAACCTTTGATGCAACTCCTGTAAATCCACAGTTGTTCAAAACTGCATCTGTAACTCGGGGTCAGTTAGCCTCTGCTATCCTACCAACTGTTRGCAGTAATATCACTTCATCTGATGTCCACTTCTTATTTACTTCTAATYCTCCACTTACAAACCCTTACAACTTAAAGGAAAGGCCGAGTGAATCTCTTCTGAATGAAATCATAAGAAAGATGAAGAGATGTACCCCTTTGGCCATTACCATTGGATGCCTAGGTACATTTAATGTAGATGCTATTAAWACTCTCCTGGAATTTTGCAAGTTATCTAAACTTATATCTGATGTAAAAGCAGAGATAGAATGGTTTGCTAACGATGTCTCATTCCCAGTGGAACACAAATCTCTTCTCCAAAACGTCCTTTGGAATAAGAGCCTGTCTTATGTCATATGTAAACACCATAACAAGATAATTGATGTAGAAGCTTTTCAGGCTTTCCCCCTTGAAAGATATCTAGACAACATGAGCATAGATGTGTGCATTTCACGCTATTTGGAAATGTCCAGTGCTAAAATATCCAGTTTGTATGTCCCTTTTGAAGCATGGACCTGGATCAATGCTCTCTCTGAAAAGGAACTTTGTGACAACTTAACGCACCTTCTGCAGGACATTGACAGTGCCTCTATTGAGCAAGTAATCATGACCGTGCATTTTCAAAGTAAGCAGCATTGGGGTCTCATTGTAGCACATGTAGAAGGACATGTGCTATATGTTGATGATGGCCTCAACTCTAGACCACCCCGATTTGCAGTAAGAGGAATGTGCAAAATCCTAAACTTACTCCAACAAGTTCTGCCAGGCAGCCATAAGTATTTCTGGGATTTCAAGAATGTATCAGTAATGCCCTTTGGAATGGACAACCAAAATGTTTCTGCCAGGACAAGCGGCAATGGGTCTGGTAGCTGTGGCCTTGGTGTTATCTTAGCTGCAAGGGATTTCATAGAGAATGGTGTTGCTGCTGTAAACAAGATGTCTTGGCAATTCAAAGACACACCCCTTTTAAGGAAGCAAGTTATGCTAGATGTGATAAGCTGGGGCCAATAGCAGGTTTAGAAAAACGCTAAATTTTATCTAGAAAATGCAATCATATCTTGTGAGAAGCATTTTAAGACAATCAGTACTGGACGTCAAACACTAGAGCAAAATAGTACTTTAAATCATTACATAAAACAAATTGTATTATTTTGGAACGTTAA